GCCCCCGCCCCGCTGCGCTTCACAGAAGGGCACGGACACCACGGCTCGGCCAGGGTCGCTGTCGCCTAAATTCTGGACACATCCCTTGAATCCACTTTTTCTGAGCCCCGGCTCAGTGGCCTTCGCACCGCCTCACGCCCCGCGGGGGCCTGGAGTGAGACTGAAGCGAGGACGCCTTTCGGTCTTGCGGGGCGCAGAGGTCGCCTCTCCTGCCCGCTTGTTCCTGAGCAGGGCGCCAAATCCAAACCCTCTTCCCACGTTGCTGCAGATGACTCTTAACGGCTTTTAGTAGCACCGTATTTATCTGATGAATGAAGCGTAATGAATCACATCAGTGACTTTTTTAGGTAACGCAAGTTTTGGCTTTTTTATAAACACGTTATTATTATTATTATTATTATTATTATTATTTATCTCTTGGGACTCAAAGGGCCCTGTAATTTATTATTCCTCTAACTTGTCCTTCCTTGGAAATAGGGTATGCTGGACATAAGTGCATCGTTTTGCTAATGACTTGGGAACCTGCCTGTGACATCACTAGTGATGTGCCTGTGCTCTTGCACTGCCCCCACCAGGAAGGCACCGAGGGTCTATTTCCAGGTCCCCTTCTTTCCCTTCCCCTTCCTCATGTATTTTTGAGCAATTCTTTTGACCTGTCGTGTATTACTGCTTGCCGCTCTTTAAAGGTCGGCCTAGAGCAGCTTTTTTGCTTTCTGTCTTCTAGATTGCTTCAGTTTGTGAAGTCACTTTGTCAGCATTGTGCTTGAACTATATACTGTGAATAAATGATACGAGCAAGGACATTGTAGACCAAGAATCGGTATAGGGACTAGTGACATCTCTTTTGGTAGTATTTGCTCATTTTGGAATTTTTTGGAAAAACTGGAGTGTCTGGATTCAGACCTGCTACAGTTTATGATACAATTTTTTAAAGATTAGGAGGTAACCTATTCAACACTTACTTGTGAGTACCTACTGTGTGCCAGGGATGTTTCAAGATGTAAATAAGACAGAACCCTGTTCTGAGGATCTTTGTTTTTTTCAAGTTGGCATGGGGACAGGAGAGCAGACATTATGAGTAAAATAAGAATTGCATATAGGAGAAAGTGCCATGAAAAAAGTGAAACAGGATAATGGGAATAGGGCAACTAGTATGGGGCTGCTTTAGCCATGCTGATCCGAGTAGGCCTTTCTGAGAAGGAGACATTTGAGCTGACACTGGAATGATGTGATGGACAAGACCATGGGAGATCTGGGGAAAGAGCATTCCAGGCAGGAGGAGGGCAGCAAATGGAAGACACTGAGGCAAGAAAGAAAGCTAGTGAGCCTGGTGGGTCTAGGAAAAGAGTTGCACCCAGGCTAGGTAGGCCAGGTAAAGCATGCTTAGAGGTTGGATTTCATTATAATTGCTATGGAGAGCCATGGGAAGGGTCAACTAAGAGTGCTTGGAAACACTCTCCTGGACAAAAGTGGACAGTAGTGCCACTTGTCTTGGATAAAATGCTTCACTTTAACTTTTTTTTTTTTGCCTGTGTTTAATTGTTTTTTTAAATATATTGTTCTAAATTACTTTTAGGTGCAGTCATGCAGGAAAACCTCAGATTTGCTTCATCGGGAGATGATATTAAAATATGGGACGCTTCATCCATGACATTGGTGGATAAATTCAACCCACACACATCACCACATGGAATCAGCTCAGTATGTTGGAGCAGCAATAGTATCCTTTAAAAAGAAGAAATAATCACTCTTTTGTTAGGTTTAACAACCAATGGAACTTTTGCATGTGACCCATAATGAGAACTATATTTTGCATAGCTATAAAGACAGATAAAAAGAAACAGTTTACTAAACAGTATATTATATGAATACTCACTGATTTTTCTTGATTTCCTTTTCAAAAACTTTAGTTTCAGCCCACTACATTGAAAAACACTGCTATTAATATATATACACACACTTATATGTTAATTATTAGATCCAAACCATAGAATTGGTTTTGTTATCTAAAGTGTGTTATTGAGTCAAATGGAATAAGGTAGGTAATGGTAGAAAAAATTCTGAAAGGTTTTGGAATGATTTTTTGCGTCTACATTTGAATATTTGTGGATTTGGTCTGGAAATCAATGATAGAACTCAAAGGCAGAAACAAAGGTTGGGGGAGGAGATAAAAATTAAAATTGTCCAGTATCCCCATCTTACTGATGTGCTCTTGTATTTTTCTTCCTTCCTGTCTCTGAGGAAAGTAGTCTCATTTCCCAAACGTTCAGAGAAATTAGAAAATAAATCCTGTCTTTGTAGGCTCCTATGTGTGGATAAAATAAATGAGGCAGTGAAGCTTATAAATCAGGATTTTTCAGCCTCGCACTATTGACATTTTGGGCCAGATGATTCTTTGTTATGGGGCCTGTCCTGTACATTAGAGGATGTTTAGAAGCCTTTCTGGCCTCTACCCACCAGAAGACAGTAGCCCCTTGTTGAGAATCACTGCTGTAAACAAATTACTCATCACTTTTTGTATGCAGATGTTCTATATACTTGGTGCGCTAGAAATTGTTATTCTTTTGTGAAACTCATACGCTGTTTCTTAAACAAATTAGGTTTTTACGTGTCTGAACTTATCAATACCAAAATGCTAATACTCTCTTTCTTGATGAAAATAAAAATATCAAAGTTTTAAAATGTGACTGATTGATGAACAAAACCATTAGACATTTTCATGCTCAACCTAATTGTTCTTGCAAATATGTAACAAAAATGACGAATTTTCTTATTGATTAAATTGACTTCATCATTCCTTGAATTTGTATTATAGTAGCAAAATAAATTATTTCAGTGGTCTATTAATCAAACTCATGGTGCAGTGGCTACAGTTTTGAAGCACTCTCTAGATGTGTAGTGGGGGGGAAATGTTTTTAAAGAGAGCGACAAATAGGTGAGGTTGCTTCTCTATTACTGGATTTTTATTATGTTTAGAGGTTAATTTTTCTTTTTGGTTTATTTGTATTCCAAGGAGTTTTATTAACAGTTGGCATTTACTGATAAACCCCTTAATGGTCTGTCAATAAAACTGATGTGACTATGAGGAGGTATCATATGACTTGGAAACTGACCTTATTTCTGTGTGGTTTCCCTGTGCAGTAGATGTGCACTGGGAGCCTTTGTATAATCTTTTCCTAATGAAGCTTTGACCCTTCCCATGGAGGTTAGTTATGGGTTAGTTATGGGTGAACAAGGACTTCCCAGGTGCAGAAACTTGGGGGCCACTTTACATGGATTCCAAAGACGGCGTTAATGAAGACATGCCAGGGAGATTTGTTTTCTATGTTTTTGGTTTTTGGTCTTCGAGAAAATGTTCCTCACTTTCTCATGATCTCTAAAAGTACCTGAGAAATAAAAGGATTTACTATTTTACCCTCATAGTATCTTTCTGTTTTTTCATTTCTATATTCTAAGGAGAAAAGTAGCAGTAAATAGAGGAAGAAGCAAAGGAAATGATTTATTTTTCTCAATGCTATAAATCTAGGTAGAAATGATTTTGTTTGAATCATGTATCATAATAAAATCACAACCCATGGTTGGTTCACAAAATATCAGAATGTTATGCAAGTCATCCAGAAGTAATGCATTTATAACATTGCTTGTTAAAAAGCATTAAACTTCTGATATTTTGTTATGAGTTTCAAAATCAAACTCTTATTCTTGGTTATATACTATTATTTTAGTTTTAAAATACTTACATTGTTTTGTGTTTACTGATTGTTCCACATAAAATAAGGTTAATTTTATTTAAAGGTTAAGGTTATTTAAGTTTTAAAATATTAAATTTTAAATAATTTATGTTTAATTTAAAATAAAACTCTTCCATAACATAAATAGCTGCTATCTAACCATATCTGTTTATATTTGGTATACTTACTGTAATATTTACTCTTAATACATTTAAGATTGAAACATTGTATCACAGAAATTCTAGTTCTGAGAAAATACCAGGTCTTATTTTTTTAGTGGACAAATAGGAGACTAGTGTAGATATTTTCTTTCTAGTTTAAATGGGCACCAAGCACTGCATTAATAAATAACTATCTTGAGCAGTGTTTATAGATAAAGAGGCTGATTAATATTTGCTGATGATGCCTCGTTATGCTTTTGTTCTTGAAGGATGAAATTAGACCTTCTGGCCTGCTTGTTGAAAGTGGAGTAGTGTTTCACGTGGGTTAACTAGCTCTCAGGTGATAGCAAACCCAGAAAGGATCATTCCTCCCTGCAGTGGTAGTAAAGAGAATTAGTGATTGGTAAACTGAGCCATTTCCGAAAGCTAATGCATAAGCTATGTTCATTTACTTTTCTTTTTAGGCGAGTGTGCTTGCTTTTATCATCACAATTCTGTGTTAATAGTCTGGTGCCAGTGATGCTCATGGATTGTTTTATGCTCCATAACTCTTCACTTAGATAACTTTCTAGTGACAGCATCTTCCAGTGGTGACAAAATTGTTGTTTCAAGTTGCAAATGTAAACCTGTTCCACTTTTAGAGCTTGGTGAAGGGGTAAGTGATTTTATTACTTAAAAGAAAAATCTTAGTTCTGCATGGGTGGTAATGGCTTATTTATTGTGGTGCTCGCAACTAAATATAAAGGTGTTTAAAAGCATTATTCTTAACCTAAGCTCAAAATAATACCGTAACACTTACAGGTGAGATAGGTACTGAAACATCTTTCAAGTAAAATAATACTGGATTCCAGGGGAGCAGTCAAGGACTCATATTTTGTCAACTAGGCACTTGCTTTCTCTATTTTTCCTCTGTGGGAGGTGCCCTGGTATTGCTGCCTTTTTTAGGGCTAAGTTCTACTTAAGTCACGAGGTTGATATAACAACAAAGCCCTAATGATGTAGCCCTGCCTTCACCACGTCGGGCTGAGGACTCTCAGCTAAGGACCTCTGTCTGATGGTTGCCTTCTGCTTTCGCTTCTCTCCACCTGTACTGAAGGGCCCACCTGAGTGTCCCCAAGCGCTCCTGGAAGAGAATGGCTTTGTCAAAATGAGCTTTGGTCCCAGAGCCTTTAAATGAAGCTTTCATTACATATTGTTTTCTTACTCTTTTCTTTTATAAGTTAATCTCTGATTTAGGATATTGCTGTCTATCCCATTTCCAATGTACTGGAAGCTGTTTCCAAGCTCTTTTTAAAATAAGATACGAGCTAAATAAAGTACAAGTAGTTGATCACTTGTTCTTTTTTAAATTTCAGATTTTCCTAGCAGACCCTAAAACAGTATGAACAGTCCTAATTTTACACACTGAAATAGGTAAGGGAGCCCAGCTGGAAAGAACACAGCCTGGCAGTGGGATGTAAGCTCATCTGATTAAAAAAGGACTTCTGATTTCTCCCGGTCCTTTCCTAAAGGTATCTGGTGGGACTGACCAAAGCTTCAGTTCCAGCCCGTGTATGTTGGAGGCTGGGGCAGAGAGGATGCTAAGGGTGGAAGTGGAGCTTGACGCCCTCTTCATAGTCAAACCCAGTTAAGTAAAATTGAGGCAGAGCATCCCTGGTTGATAAAAGTCAGAGTGTACCCTTCAAGAGCAGGCAAAACATCTTAGCCACCATCTTTGAATCTTTAAATCCCATCAAAGGTGGTTGACCAGCATGTGTTTAATTAAATATCAACATCAAAATAATTTTGATTGCCACCTCCACCACAATACATGTTATGCTTCTTTTTACCTTTTTGTTTTTGTTATTAAAACATGAAAATAACATAGATGATATTCACCAGTGTAACACAATTCTAAGAATTTTTGTGAATATTCCACATTGGTTGCTGTAGATCTGTTTCCCATAGTTAAGAAATCACATCAGAGTGCACGTGGCTGAAGCAAGGTCATTATTGTTATTATTTGAATCTGCTTTAATTTATTCATTAAAATATTTTGCAAACATTGGTTCTTTAGCCGTTATTAGTAATTTATTGTAACATATTAGTGTGTTGAACACCTTTGCTTTGTAGGATCCAAGTTCTTTTACTCATGTGCTATTTGAGATATTAGGCCTATCCTACATGGGAAAATATGATTCTTACTTAAACATTATTTTTTGAGTAGAACTTTAAGCTTATATTTATTTTCCTTGATTTCGTATTTTACTTCTTTAAAGTAAAGAAGACTGGTATTAACAGTATTATAAGGGATATGACAGGCTACTATATAACCTAGAAATTTGACCAGCTGTTATTTTTAGATTTTAAAACTACATCCATTGCTTGTGTCTTGGGGTGTAGGATTCCTGTAATAATTACACAGTTTCTATTAATTATTTAAGTTCATTAGCTACATTAATAATATATTAACATAAAAAATCTTCTATTATCCTGGTGGGCCAGCTATAAATATAGCTTTTGTTCTGAGCCCTTAAGAATAATTAGTTGTTTTTGACAATTAGAATCCTAATATATCAACCTTTGATCGACATCATTCTTGTCTTATTTATTTAAAGGTTATTTTTATAGCTCTTAGCAAACTGTCCTGATTTGCAGTGATAACCACATTCTAAGTCTTATTAGTTTGTTTAGACTGAAGTCAGTTCCTAGTATGGTGCATTGCAAGAGAATGATACCTTCTGTACTGACACACTGACCTAAAGTGTCCCTGATATTTTTATACGTGTTAGTAATTTTGACTCTTGGTCAAAATTTGAGAGTGGTAAGAATCTTGGGTGCAGGGGGTGGGGGTGGGGGTGCGTCTGCACCCTTGAGAATTGGATGCTCTCTTGAGGATGTTGTTGAGATGTGTGGACTCTCACGGTAGGAAAAGTAGATCTAGTCGTTTCTCATTTCTCAGATGAAGAAACATAGGCTCAGAAAGGTGAGATGACTTGCCTAAACCTACATAGCTTGCCTTTTAACTAAGTCACAAATATATCCCCTTTGGAATTTATTTCTCTGTGTTTTTCCCATAGCATTCATCTGGAGGTAAGAGTGTTAGTATAACTACGTAGTGTACCTGAAGGCTAAATAGGAAAAAACATGCAACCTCCATAGTGTTCTGATGGATGGGCACCACCAGGTAGTTGAACACTCAGATAATTATTCTGAGAAAAACTTGGTAGCCTCTGTATTATTGGCCATTTATTTTATAAATACTTATTGAGCATGGATATGGTCTTTGCTCTAGTGAAACTGACATTCTGGTGGAAGACAGACAACAAACTAATAAACCTAATACCCAGGCAGTGATAAGTTGTTATGTCAAGAACTAAAATAAGATATTGAGATAGCAAGTTACCTTAGGTGGCCAGGGGAGGTCTTCTGAAGAGGTGGCATTTAAGATGCTGTCTGTTGACCAGAAGAAGCAATACAGCCAAAGTTCAGGGACTTGAGCTTTCCAGGCAAGAGTAGCTGTTGTAGAAACCTTGAGGCAAATTATGTTTAAGGAATGCAAGAAGGTCTCTGTGGCTGGAGAATTAGTGGGCAAGGAGGAAAATGAGAGAGGAGGTAGGAAGGGGCCAGATGAATAGGCTTTGATAGCCACGTTAATGGGTCTGGAATTCTGGGGTTGAGTAGAAGCCATTGAAGATTTTTAAATGGGAGAGACATAATCAGAGTTACATTTTTTAAAGGTCACCCTACTTACGGAGAACAATGTGTAGAAGTGGGAGTAGAAGCTAGCTGGACGACCAGTTAGGAGACTGCAGTTGTGGGTTTGGATTAGGGTGCTAGTAGTAGCTGTAGATATAGGAGAGGCCATGTGGGATTTATTTTAGTGTTGGAGTTTAGAGAATTTATGGTAGATTTGGGGGAGGTTAGAATGAGGAATCAAGGGTAATTCTGCAATTTTATCTTGAGAGACTGATGGATGGTGTCCTTACAGATGTGGGGAAGACTGTAGAGTCAAGTTCTGACGACTTGATGTTTGAGAATTGGGTTTCTTAGAGCAAGATTTGCTATGAGGCTTTAGGCAAGTCTCTTGTCCTCTTTATAAAACTGTCCCCATCTGTAAAATGAGGGATTTAGACATCCTTTAAAGTCTCCTCTACCTTTAGTGTTTCCTGAGCTGTGGGCTGATTGGAATTCAAGGTTATCCTATGGAAGTGCAAGAGCAGGTTTCAATAAGGGGAGATAAATATTAAGGGCAAGTAAGCCCTGATGGGGCGCCAAGACTTGCTGGTATTTCCCAAGCTTCCTCGGTCACCTCTGTTGTATGGCAGAGAACATGAACCTGGTTGATTTCCTTGAAGCCTTTTTGAATTTACAAGCTGTTGGATCCATGTGGAAGATGAGAGGTAAATCTTTAGTATAAGTATTAGCATGTTTGTAGCATTTAATTCCACAAATAGTTATCAAGTGCTTACTAAGTATCTAACAAGACTTGAAAGTCATCTCTGGGCTCTAGTAAATTAAGATAATTTTTTTTCCCCTTTAATAGCAAAAGCAGACATGTGTCAGTTTAAATTCCACATCTATGTATTTGGTAAGCGGAGGCCTGAATAACACTGTCAATATTTGGGATTTGAAATCCAAAAGAGTTCACCGATCTCTTAAGGTAAGGAACTTGGGGGGGGGGGTTAATCCTTACAGAAATGGGTATTTCACAATGTGTTTAGTTACCAGACTTTTCATGTTGAGCTTTTATGATAAAAATAAAATGCTTCAGAATTGAGATTCACTAGGGAAAATAAAGATGCTGTTTAGCTGAAAACTTATGTATATGTATTTTTGTCAGTTTTTTTTTCCCCTCCCTGTATGTCACTAAGGCATGTTATTGGTGTTTAAAATGTTTTATTTTTTTACTCAGTTCTAGTCTCATTTGAATGAACCACTTTCTTTACATTTTCTGAGGTATGCTTTGTTGTCATCAGAGATCTTTTTGAAGGCACTTAGGAAAAGTGAGTGTGGTTTTGGGATGACAGTAGTCCATCTGGTAGTTAGAGCTGGAGGATTGGCTTTTTCTCTAGTATATTTGGCTGTTGCTGTTTGTGTTGTTTTTGTGTGTATGTATTTTGACCTTGATAATGAGATATTTTCTAAAATAATTTATTACAATTATTATTTCTTTAAATAGCTTTTTGCAGTTTCAGAAAATAAAAATATTCTTCACATATTTGGGTTGTGATGATATTTTTGGAATTTTGCTTTTTACTATTGTGTCTTTTTAATATTTGGAACATTTATAGAATTGGGGAGTTAAGAAGTCTCTGGCCAGTTTTGTCACATATTGTCACACAATTTAGGAGCATTACTCACCCCCATCTCTCCTGTATGGCAAAATCCCACTTATTTTTTTCATCTCTGCATCCCAATTACTCCAGATGGTATTTTCTCTTCAGACTCTTACAGAACCTCATTCCTTCCTTTATGCAGTTAATAAGACGGACTAATTGTGATAGTGGGAAATCTAATTTTCACCTCCGGGTCCCTTCTCTGCAGTGCTTTTTCTGGTAAAAACACAATTTCTGGCACTTGGTAGGTGCTTAGTAGGTGTTTACTGAAGGACTTATTTTCCACAGCTGAAATAAGAAAGACACCTGTATCTTTACTAAGTCATAGACATTGCATTGGACCTCATGTTCTTAATTTCCCAAATGGCAACAGTGCACTAACTGTCTACTCTTTTCTTCTCATCAGACCTTTTCCCTCAGGACAGCAATTGTTTCTTTGATTTAGAAAAGGAATAAAATGTAAATACATCTCCAATCATGCTTGAGAAAAAGTTGGAAAAAGTTGCAATACCATAGTTATTACAATAGAAAAGTTGTAATATAATAGTGGAATATTATAGTTACTATTCTTGGTATTACATTAACCTAATAATTAGATACAAAGGATAGTTTTTTTACATTATTAAGGTATGACACCAACTATTAAAAACTATACTTTGAATCCTGATCACTTTTCTTTGTTCCTGCTAGATATTTCTGATTTGATGTTGGAAAACATAGTCCTTGTGAACTCAGTTTCTTTAAAACCAAATAGTTTTATTTCCTGCAAATGGATTTCCCCTTTGGATTTGGGAGACAGCCTAACATAGAGGGAGGCAAATAGGCTTTGGAGTTTGACCTGGAATTTAATCCTGGCCTTTTCACTTAGTTACATGAGCTTCACAGATTTCTTACTTTCTGTGCCTCATTTAGTTAACTCATCTGTAAAATGAGGAAAATGACATTTTCTCCAAGATTGTTCTAAGGAATAATAATAATATATAGGCCTTACCTGTGTGACTTAGTTGGTAGGAGCGTTGTCTGGTACACAGAAATGTCATGGGCTTGATTCCCAATCAGGGCACATACCTAGGTTTCTGGTTCGATCTCGAGGGGGTTAGGGCATGGTCAGGAGGCAACCAGTCAGTGCTTCTCTCTCTCTCTCTCTCTCTTTCTCTCTCTCTCTTTCTCTCTCTCTCTTTCTCTCTCTCTCTCTGCCTCTCCCCGCTCCCCTTTCCCTTCTCTCTAAAAAAATAAATAAAATCAATGGAAATGTCCTTGGGAGGATTAAAAAATAATAATAAAATCATAGTAATATATAAAGTTCCCAGCATTAGTAGGTACTCAGCAAACGGAAGTAGCTGATACCATCTCTCAAATATACCTTGCTCATTCTGGCTTTGGGGCTTTTGTTTTTTGCTCTGTTCCACTTTGTCTGGTTTATTTCCCTTTCTCCTAGTTTAGCTGTTTTCCTTTCTTTAAGATTGAACTTAAATTTTATGTGTTCCATAAAGCTTTCTTTGTCAGCTCAGTTCATGGTGATGCCTCTTTCTTTTTCCTCTTGACACTTTGCCTCTACCACTCACTTAGCATTTCTGCCATTTTCACATTAATTTAAATGTCCTGTCTTCTCAAGTGAACAGTAATACTCTCAAGGGCGGGACTCTCCTAATAGTCAACTTGCAATACATGTTACCTGTCTGTGGAAGTGAATTCTTTAAGGGAGACATTGCCATTTGGACAATTACCTTTCCTTTCTCTCTAGTTTCAGAGGGCCTGATCATTATTATGGTTATAAAAAATAAATCTCTGTTCCTTGAGAAGACTTGGTGTCAATCACATAGTTCCCTGCTTAGTTGAGTAATTTTTTAAGGTTATTTGAGGAAAATGTTAAAGAAATATTAGATTGACAAATAGATAATATTTATAAACCATGAAATTTACAAAAACATGAAAATGTGCTTTTTGAAGGTTTTATGGCACTGTACTTTCATTTTTTTCTTTCAGGATCACAAAGATGAAGTAACGTGTGTAACATATAATTGGAATGATTGCTATATTGCTTCTGGATCTCTCAGTGGTGAAATTATTTTGCACAGTATAACCACTAATTTTTCTTCTACTCCGTTTGGCCATGGTAGTAACCAGGTAAGTATGGGCTTACTCAAAATAAAGTTGATAAGATAGATTTTGAACTCTTATATAAAACAATGAGTTTTAAGTTTTTAAGTATTTAAAATTTACATTTAGCTTGTTTGAAAAACTTAGAGCTAGCTATTTTTTAAAGATAGTGTTTAAAAGTGCTCAAATAGCAGGCTAATTCATACTATGCTTATATGATTAAGTTCAGAGTATGCTTACTTGATTAAGTTCAATTAGGCCATTGAATATAACATGTTCCTAGATTATAACTATATATAACAAAATACAAATAATGTTAATAGGTTAAGCCCAAAACATGGATATTAATCTTTCTGTATGACATTACCGCTATAGACGTGTTGCATAGCTCAAACTGTGTTAGCTACAGGACAGATACTTATGCTCATAAATACTCTGGTGGACATGTGACAGTTGAGTGTGTTTAGGCACAGGGCAAGTGGAGTTTTGGTTTTGGTTTCTTTAAGTATGTGCTAGTTAATGTATGAAAACTTATTTATGTATTTCAGGTTAATACAGGAGTACGTAGGGGAAGTTTTTGTTGTTGTTAATCCTCACTCAAGGATATTTTTTCCATAGATTTTTTTAGAGACAGTGGAAGGGAGGCGGGAGGGACAGAAAGAGGGAAAGAGAGAAACATCGATTTGAGAGAGACACATTGATCGGTTGTCTCTTGCATGTGCCCCGTCCGAGGCCGGGGATTGAACCTGCAACCCAGGTATGTGCCCTTGATCTGGTAATCTAACCTAAGACCCCTTGATGCGTGGGCCCATGCTTCAACCACTGAGCCACACTGGCCAGGGTTGTAGGGAAACTTTTTATAAAGGAATATTAGCCGAATTTTTTCTTTATAAAAATTAGTCTATCAACTTCTTCGAAGAATAAATTTAGTTTCTCAAGAAATCTAATTTTTAGCTAACTTTCCATGAAACTCTCCTCAGAAATTTCCAATGAGGTATAACCTCTTTTAATTCTTACTTTTTATTTTATTATTTTAATCTTTATTGATCTCAGAGAGAGGAAGGGAGGGGAAGAGAGAGAGAGAGAGAGAGATAGAAACATCAGTGATGAGAGAGTCATTGATCGGCTGCCTCCTGCACGACCCTGACTGGGGATCGAGCTGCAACCTGGGAATCAAACCTCGATCTCCTGGATCTTAAGTCATTGCTCAACCGCTGAGCCACGCCTGGCTGTGCAATTCTTACTTTTTATTATAATCACTGTGTCCATTATTATTATTAGATAAAAGATGGAAGTGCCTCACTTTTGAAAAACAGTTTTTAAAATTATTGTTTGAATAATATATATTTTGTGTTTAAGGAAAATTTTATGGATATTAAAAATGTATAGAAAAATGTCTTTTTTCAAGTTTCCTGTGTATTGGGGAATAAAAGAGTTATACATGTAAGTGATAATATGGCTGATTGATATAAAGCAATCATGGTGAATCAGAACAGTGAGAGAAAATTACCTGATTGGGAATAAAATGGGGAAATTAACGGAGGGAGGATTTCAGCTGGGTGTAATGCTTAATTGATTTATTTTTACTACAGTATCAATTGGCCTCTTGGCCAAGAACTTGATTCTGACTTGTATTAGGGTTAACTCGTTACATGCCCACCCTCTAGTTGGAACCATATCTTGTTTTCTTTGTTCTCAACCATTGTCCAACTTTGTGCTTTACCTGGAAAAGATCCTCAATAAATATGTGAATGGATGAATACATTTAGGGATAACAAAGATTATAATAAGCTAATATAGAACTTTGGGGGAAGGATATGTTATGTGGAGGAAATCACATGAACAAAAACAAGTAACAGGGAAGGCGTGTGGTTTTTTATATAGGGCCAAAGAAAAGGTTGGAAAGGACTTTGAATGCTGGGCTGTTAAAAATTTTTTAAAGATTTCTCAAAATTCATTTAAGATTTCAAACATACTAAGTATTCATTTCTTAAATTTAAACAATGTTCATAAAAATTCCAGGTCTTTACAAAAATTGACATAATTCAAATACACTGTTACTCAGCCCAATTCCTGTGTTGGAGATTTTTATTATAGATAGGGGTCTAGGTTATTGAGAAAAATAGTGTAGGTGGGGCACATCTAATGATTAAATTAAAATGTTTGTTTTTGTTTCCATGAACAATCAATTTGAAATCTTGTAAAATTTATCAAATTGATTTCTTAGCAAAAGTGATAAAACCATGGAGTCTCATGAATCTGCATTACACTGAATTTCCTATTGGAAATGAGATTGCCTGAATATATTTAGAATCTTACTTTGAAGTGTATGAGCTGAATTGAAGCTGTTAGTTTTATGTGGATCACAGTGTCTTTCTGCAGGAGAAGAGAGCCTTACTGCTTCTGCAGACCTGCCAGGGCTGACAGATTTCTGAGATTATAATTGCATGTCACTGTTTGGCAAATTCAGCAACTTAGGCTCACAAACAGGTTAACCTGTGTTGCCTTTTGAAACTGTAGCCCTATTTAAAGCAGTTAAAGAGTGCATCTATTTTATTGATTCTTTGTCTTTAAAAATGATCATTAAATATAGGAGGCTTTCTGTGAGATTTTAAATATAAGGTATTTCAGTATGTATGAAATAAGTTTATTGTCTTTGGTGAAATTTTTGGCACTTTAGGTATAGATTTTGTAAGTAGCAATAAGACTGTTTGAGTACAGAGATCTGGTAAATGTAAATAATTATTTTTACATTTAAAAAACAATTTTATGAGGAATGAGTTTAATTCTAATTTGGTTAACTTGGTGACTGGTTATGTTTGTACCTGAATTTTGGCACTCAAAAAAGTGACTACAAAGCTTTATTTCTAGAATAGTGGTCTCCTTTATATTACATAGGAGCATTGGTATATAATGTTTGCATGATAATATGGCCTTAATTCTCTTGATATATTTTCTTAATATTTGTGTATACTTGTCTAGCCTATATATTATGTTCTTAAGCAGTTTTATAGTTGGCATAAAATGAAGTTCCAACCTATATCTTTATGTATTACTTCCTAAAGGCTACTTTTCCCCCCTGTATTTTTCTCCTCCAAATTTCCTCTAATGGGAAGTTATTTGAAGAATGTGTCTTGCACTATTCTGTGTGTAGCTCTGTGTTCCTTCCCCACAGTGTTAATCATGCCGTTGGTCCAGTCTTGTTTTCTACCTTTCGCTCATTAGTGTTTTATCCCAGGTGTTCTCATATTACTAGTCTCCATAACCATACTTTTTAGTGGCTATATAGTATTCCAATGTTCAAATGCCACAGTTTAAACATTTTTATGTTTAGGTATTTTCTCAATTTTTATGATCAGTGAGCACCATCTGTTAATATGTTTCCATAAGCATATATCTTCTGCTTTTGACTTTTCTTTGAGATTACAAATTGTCTGTCGGTGTAACTGAGTAACAGGCTCACATTGTCTTTCCTTCAGGAGCTTACATGTGTTACTCTGTCATTTTTGGTCTCAACTGTCTGATGACAATTTAAGTATTTTTTCCTTATAAGTTACTTGTTCCTTTTCCTTAGGTGACCGAAGGATTTTTGTTTTCTAACGTCCAGTGATTTTGCTGGACTATGGTTTTGGTCATTCTACTTGCTATTCATATGTACATGATTTGCTAATTGAATATGTAGTTCAGATCTTTTCTTCTTTCAGGAAAGTTTTCTTGAATTATAGTTTTTAGTGTTTCTTCTTTTCCTTACCCTTTTTCTTCGTTGATCTTCTTATGTACAGTAATTTATTACAGGTCCGCCTCAGACGCCCTGTTTTCCTCTGCTTCCTCCTGCATAGGCACCGATACTGTGAAGAATTGTAGCTGTTAATTTTTTGACCTATAGCATGTATATGGGGTTGTGGAGATACCAGATCGTCTAGTTTTGTTGTAATTGTTGTTCATAGGATTTTAGTTTTGGTGTTTGGTTTGCTGTTTGTCTGTAAATTACGCATACAACATATACATACACATATACATACACTNTTCATAGGATTTTAGTTTTGGTGTTTGGTTTGCTGTTTGTCTGTAAATTATGCATACAACATATACATACACACGCTGCTGGGNATACATACACATATACATACACTGGATCCCCAAGACCCAGTTTGATGATTCATTAGCAGAACTCACATATGCGTATATAGTGTCTAATATATGTATTGGAGACTATAAAGCTATAAGGAAATATGCATGTGCATTCATGTCTCTGTAAAAGGAAGGCTTTTCTAAGCAGATTTAAAAATTTTAAATCTGACAAAAAGAAAGACCTAAAAAAATCAACGAAATTGAAAGGAAAATATTAATGCCCGTGAAAGCATTAATGTTCTTATTATGTTAAGATCAGTTGCAAATTATTACTTAAAAAATCTTAATAGTCCAGTGAAAATAAGCAAAATTAATGGGCATTTCACCAAAGAAAGAAGACATATGATCACTTAGCATTTTTCAACTAAGAACCTTTAAAGTATGACAAACAAATACAAACTCTTTCATAAATTAGCAATTAAAAAAAATATTTCAGAGAGAGCGAGGGAGAGAGACAGAAACATCAGTAATGAGAGAATCATTGATCACCTGCCTCCTGCAAGTCCCCCACTGGGGATCAAGCCCACAACCTGGGCATGTGTCCTGACTGGGAATTGAACTATGATCCAGGCGATCATGGATGCTCAACTGCTGAGCCATGCCTGGCCAGGTATCAATTAGCAATTTTAAAAATGATAGTGGTCACGGTGCTTGGAAACTGAAAATAACCTAAATGTCCAACATTAGATTACTTAAATAAATTGATATACTCATACATTCATTTATTATTCAGCTACTAAAACCATGCAGTAGAATATATTAATTACAAGGTTATCTTTGTAATAATAAAGTTTGATCCCAGATTTTCAGCTGATACTTTACTGAATACCCACAAACATACACATACACAGAAAAGTACTCAAAGAATATCCCCCACAATGTTAACCAATCTTTCCCTAGGTGGTGGGATTATGGACGATTTCTTCTTTTTTTTACTCTTAAATATTTATAGCAGGAATGAGCAAACTATCACCCATGGGCTGGCTTTATTTTTGTAAATAAAGTTTTATTAAAACACAACCATGCTAATCTATTTATGTATTGTTTATAACTGCTTTTGCAGTACAACAGTGTAACATATTTACTATCTGTTCCTTTAAGAAAAAGTTTGCCAACCCCTGATCATAGTGAGTGATATATTTTTTATACTTAGAAGCAACCTCCCTCCTCTACAAGCACACACATTTCTTACATAATGTATTGTTAGAAAAAAATAGCATCGCTGCTTATAATGCTGGTATTTTCATAAGCTTCTTGACAATATTTTTTTTCTTAGAAATAGCTTGACTGTGGAACAAGATAGGGGCTGAATAAGTGCTACTGATACTAAAATAAATTAATACTTACTTTAAAAAGAATTTAGTAGATTAATACTTTGTCTAATCCAGGATCATTGCATATTCTCAATGATATTCTAAGGAGATGATGATTTAATGGATTTAGAAAGTTCAGAAATGCCTATCTTATCAAAGAGATAAAGGGGAGGCATTTAAAGAAATCAGTGTGGTTGTTTTAAGGGTCTTTTAAAAAATATTTGTGAAAGATGATTGAGTGGGTACATACACAGCAATGAATATGGGAGTCATGAACCTTTGAGAGTAGTTGCCGTAGGTACTAGGTACCTGGATCTGTGCAGAAATGCTGTTTAATCCTCAAAATAACTTTGTCAAGCAAACAAGAGTGTTTTCTGTTTTGTAAATGAAAACATTGAGGCTTGGTATTTAAGTAGCTTACCCAAATCGTATGGAATTTGGTTGAACCTCTACTTGAACCAGGTTTTTCTGGGAGGAAGATTTATGGTTATGTAGCCATTGTTTGCTTTTTTAATGGGTTGCCTTGTAGATCCACAGAGATTGAAACAATATATGGGATTTAGATTTTGACTTAATCAAGAAATGACTTAAAGTTTTATTATATAAAAGTAGTTCACTCCCTGTTCCTGACTATATTCAGATTCTGGATGACCATGTTTTAAGTATGTTTTAGCAAATTGCTGCCGTGGCTGAGAGGTTGAACTTCATGAACTTGGAGAATCTATGTGGTCTGTGGTTTTTTGTGGTATAGTTGTGTGTTTTGGGGTTTTATTAAGTTCTGCCTGCGCAATTCAAATTTAGATTATATGAAGGACCATAACTGTATGAACTCTTAAAGCTCTTCAGAAATCTTTAAAATATTAATGTTTTGCCTTGTGTTTTGACAGGTTGATATATGACTAAAAACACTATAATTCACTAAGAGATCTGTGTCTTACAGTTAAGGTCCATGTAGTTTTTTTTTCCTTCAGTATGGACGAGGTGAAAGATTTGTCTGTTCACATGGATACACTTTTCCTCAACAAAGATGGAAAATACACACCAGCATTTTCTCTTTGCACGAAAATGAGCCAAATTTAATAGATGGCCATAGTAATTATCTTACCTTGTGTGTCTGGTAACAAATACTTTTGATTCCTTAGACTGATTCTGTTTTGTTATCCCTGAATATTTTTTGTTGTTGAGGGCCAATATATGTTATTTTGAAACATTTTAAAAGTAAGTAGAATATGACTTTTTAAATCCTTTGAGTATGAAAGATAAAGCGAGGTGGAACAAACAAAAACCTTCAATTTTAACTTGTGCTCTGCCCATTTCATCTGGGACCACATGTAAAGCTGATAGCCACTTACTAGAACCTGATTCATTGCCTTGACTCGGGACTTAACTGTTCGAAGGTGGATTGTACTTAATTTCTATACTTGTGTTGCTGTTCCTTCACAAGGAAAAATTAGGTTAAATGTAAAATACCTAATGCTTAGCACAATAAATATGAATGTAAGTTCGAAAGCAACATTTTAGTAAAAGTAGATAAAATTCAGTCAGCTTTAATCTGGGGCCGGTTTACTCAAACTCAGTCTTTGCTTTTTCTCTTCCAGTTAGATCAGAAACTAGAAAGAGAAGGAAATGTCTCCACAGCCCCCAGGGACAAATGTTTAAAATCTAACATCGCCCTGGGGCTGATACTTTTGAAAGAATGGATATGTCCATCCCTGGTCTAGAGTATTGACTATTCCTCCTTTGTGGTTTACTTAATTTTTATTATGCTTCAGGTGTTGAATTGCCAGCACATCAGATGCTCAGATTCAGACAAATATATTCAAACATCTAAAATATGTATAAAATGCAAATATTGTTTATTCTCTGCTAGTGTTCTCTTATACTTATTTGTGATTTGGCCGTGACTGGGCCTTTTTTTTTATGGTGGGTGTTCTAACCCTGATGAATCAATGTATTATATTTTTCCTCTGGAAAAAAAGAGGAGATTGAGGTAGCTATACTCCAAGTTAGTAAAATCATGACAAATATTCAATTATTAGAATATTGGTGTTTCTTGGGGTCATCTTATATAGGTCACTAAATGATTTTAATGGTGTATTGATTGAAACCTGTTACTCTCTAAACCAGAGAAGTCCTAAATCCTGTCTACCTATTGTGTCTGTGGTTTGCCGTTATTTATATAGTTTATATAAAATGTTCTTATGAATGCTAGCAATTACATAAAATTTATTCTTATTTTTCTAGCCTGTTCGGCACTTGAAGTACTCCTTATTTAAGAAGTCGCTACTGGGCAGTGTTTCGGATAACGGAGTAGTAACTCTCTGGGACGTGAACAGTCAGAGTCCCTACCATAACTTCGACAGTACTCATAAAGCTCCAGCTTCAGGCATCTGCTTTTCTCCTGTCAATGAGCTGTTGTTTGTAACCATTGGCTTGGATAAAAGAATCATTCTCTATGACACATCCAGTAAGAAGTAAGTGTGACTTTTCTTAACTTAGCAACAAATAATTATCTCATTAGCAGATATATTTGTGATTTGTATAGACCTCTGATTAATGTTCAGGCGCTCTAAAATTTGTGTACTTGATATCTGATAAGGTAGATTTTTTTTTTTTTCCCATGCAGAAAGAAATAGAGGCATGAGTATTTTTTTTTTAATTTATTGGGGTGACACTGGTTAATAAAATTATATAGGTTTCAGGTGCACAATTCTATAATACATCCTCTGTATATTGTATTGAGTGTTCACCACCCCAAGTCAAATCTCCTTCCATCACTGTTTATCTCCCCTGTACCCTCTTCTACCTCCCCCACCCCCCTTTCCTTGTAATCACCATCCCGTTTGATTGTGTCTGTGAGGGGTTTTTTGCTTAATCCCTTCACCCTTTTCACCCAGTCCTCCCAATCCCCCTCCCCTCTGACAGCTGTCAGTCTGCTCTCTGTATCTATGAGTCTGTTTCTATTTTGTTTGTTAGTTTATTTTGTTCATTAGATTCCACATATAAATGAAATCCTTTTCCTTGTCTTTCTCTGACTGGCTTATTCAGAGTTCTTCTGGATTGTGAACATTGAAGGACAACTAAGTACTTGTATTTTTAAATCAATATGATGAAGTTGCTTTAAAATTAATTCCTTGTGTAAAGCAGGGTGTCTAAACTATCAACATTTCGTGCTGGATTAATTCTTGGTTGTGAAGGGCTGTCCTAGGCACTGAGATGTTCAGCAGCACCCCTGGCCTCTATCCACTAGATGCCAGTAGCATGTTCCCAGTTGTGACGTCCTGACCACCTCTAGTTGAGAACCACTGGTCTAGAGCTAAAGGGCACATAATCTAAGTGTCTGGGCCTGTTGTGCCTTCTTGTCCTCCTTAGAGTTATAAGGGCGCTTGGTTAGCTTTAAAAATTTTTTAAAGTTGCAAGATTGCTACAGGTCTGTTCAAGATACCTAACAATATCTAAAGATCTTATAAGAAGAAAATGATGTTACTACTGGAGACCTACTGTCAGCCCTTATTAAAAGTTTACTGTTACTTATTTCACATTCTTTTTCCTTTTCTGTTTCTTTTTTATTCTTTTTTTGTACTTACTTACTAAGAGACCTGAGCCACTAAGCCATTTCTCTCTCATACCAGTCACTCCAGCAAAGAGCTCAGCTTCAACAGATCGGTACCCATATTTCTTTCTCAGCTTCCCGAGGATCAGGCCACATAGGTTCTGTTAGCTTTTGGTCAGGACACGCAGAACTGAGAACAGAGCAGCAGCTGCTCCCCCGTGAAAGGCCAGAGTCCCCTTGAGGCTTAAGCAGGTCAATAAATGGAAAGGGGATACTGGGAGCCGCCTCAATTCTGAGGCTAGAGCCTTTTTTGTGGAGTAGCACCCAGGAATTCTGTCACAGTCATTGCCAAAGTAATAATTACTCAAAGAAATAGGTACTGCTTCTAGAACATGTGGAGTGTAGTCACTGTTAGAAGTGCATAGAAAAATTGGATGAAGCGTTCAGCAGTTCCTTTCTATGCCACTGCCCTGTAATGTCTCTAAGTCTAATTCTAAATTTCTGCTTTAAATAACTGTTTGTTGTGGGTATGTTATTGCCCAATTCTGAGTAAGTTTGGTTTGGATATACAGTGATTTTTTTTGTCACATGAGCTTATATACCTGTATACACTCATATATCTACATAGACTTATTCTTCTTTCTCAAGGCTAGTGAAAACTTTAGTAGCTGACGCTCCTCTAACTGCAGTAGATTTCATGCCCGATGGAGCCACTTTGGCTATCGGATCCTCCCGTGGGAAAATATATCAATATGATTTAAGGATGTTGAAATCACCAGTTAAAACCATCAGTGCTCACAAGACATCTGTGCAGTGTATAGTATTTCAGTACTCCACTGCTCTTTCTAAGGTGAGATATGCTTTTGCTGAATTTTTTCTTTTACTAAACATATCTAGCTCAGAATATGGAAATTTTATGTTGTCAATCAAACACAGTGTAGTTTTGCTTCATAATTACTTTTATGTAAAAAGCATTTAATAAAATTTTCATACAAAGCCATCTGATACTTGGTTTTAAAACTTTTTTTTTTTTTTTTTTACTTTTAAACTTAATTCTCCTATTTCCCTCTTTTCATATTTTAAAAGGCTTTTTTGGTTCAGAGGGAAACTTTAAGATATACCAGCAAGCTTAAAATTTGTGGGGGGAAATATATACATATTTTTAATCTAATAGGGAATTTATAAAATATTAATAACAGTAGGGAGCATTAGAAACCTGAGCTTTTAAATATTCCATTGCATTTCAGTCAGGTTTAAATAAAGACTCTTCAAATAAGGCCTCAGCTGTGAATAAACGAACTGTTACTGGGAGTGCTGCTAGTGGAGGAGCTCAGAATTCTGGAATAGTCAGAGAAGCCACATCCACGGTTCTACCACAGCCCATGACAACAGCCGTGGGGAAAGGCACAGTTGCTGCTCCAGACAAAGCAGGTAGGTGTTGCTTATACATAGTATTTGGAATGACACCCCCACTCCCACCCCAATATATATACAATTACACTTTCTTTAAGAACCTAGAACTCAAATTCATTTGAGAATTTAAGTAAAATTATTAGTAGATATCTTTAAAGAAGTGAAAATTTTAACTTCAGCTATGTTTTTTAAAAAAAAATAATGAAAAGCACTTCTCTTAGTCTATTTATTTGAACTTCTGATGTAAAAATATTCCGTTGTGTCTTCAGGTTAGTGAGTGAAACTTTGATGATGTCATGATTTGACCTCTGGAGGGGTTTTTTTGGTTTTTAAAAAGCTATTAATGACTCCTTTTATTTCATATTCTAGAATGGAAAGTAAGTCAAGTAGTGAAATGAATATATTTTAGTATTAAATAGTGCCTGACACATTTTAAGCATCATACTAGTTGTTTGTTAAATAAAAATAAATGAAAATGTTCCAATTTTAAATAATTTTTTCTATGCCGATAATCAAGCATTTCTTAAAGAGAAACTCATTAGACTCTGTGAAGGTGTAATATGATGATAAGCTTCCCCATACTTACTGTAGGATAAGATGTTCTTTGCCCAAAATGCAGATCATATTCCCTAAATTCCTGGAAACCTTCTGTTTTTTATTTTAAGAATTATGCTGAACTGTCAACTTGCAACAGATATTTTTAAAAGTCTACATGGTGCATATGCCAGTATGTTTTCAAAATATTCTCATAGAAATAAATGTACCCATCCATGTCTTTTTAAGTTTTTAGGACAAGTACTGGACTTGGACAAGAATATTTGTTGGTGCCTTCTCAGTCCAAGTTTACTATTTCCAAGTATAAGCAAAACTTTAATTTGTTAGCATTCATAGTGTAGTTTTTTTAAAGTAATAGGTATATTCAGTATAAATTTTCTGTGAATAGCTACATTATCCTTACATAAAAATTATTACATATTATGTAGAAAAATAATTAGGCCCTTATTTAGGAACTCCTGGAAATAAGTGCTATTGCTATCTATTTAAAAGAAGAAAATAACTTTTCAAAAATAACTTTGAGTAATATGTGCCATAAATGTTGAATTTAACTATATGAAAATTGCCATTATTTCCAAAATTTATTTTATCTTATGCATAATTTTCAAAAATTAAAATAAAGGTTTTCTCATTTACTGTACGTTTTCTGAAGTCTGTTATTCATTTAATTTTTAACAAGGAGGCTCATGCGTAAAAATGACAGCATTCATTAGGAAGTGGAAGACTTGGGTCTGCAAGGCCATTGATTAGTAGCTCTCAGCCGATTAGCAAAGTTTCTGGCAAAATGAAGGTTTGCTCTGTACCTGTAGTTAGAAATTTTGTTCATTAATTTTACTTTGAAATAATTGCAAACTTACAGAAAAGTTTCGATAATAGTACAAAGAACTACTGAGCTCCACTATCTAGCAGATTCACCATTTTATGAATTTTGCCACTTTTGCTTCCTAATTTTCTCTCTCAAATACACACACACACTCACACATACACACATAGATATAGATAGATATAGATATAAATAAATAAATATATAGAGATAGATAGATAGATAGACAGACAGACAGACAGACAGAGACATTTTTTTCCCCTCTGAAACATTGAGAGTCTATTAGGTTTAAGCCTCAGGTTTTTCACTTCTCACCAGGGTGACTTTGGGCAGTTTTCTTAACCATTCTGAGTTTCATTTTTCTCTTCCACAAATAATAACTTAACCTTTAGAGTTATTGTAAAAATCAGAGCAAATGTTTCAAAAACATGGTGGGTGCTCAGTGATCGTGGTGTGATTAATAATATTGTTATCATGATCATCATCATCACTATTATTATTACTTTAAGCTTCTTGTAAAATAAATCCAAAGTTTGAAAAACAGTTCTTGTTGCTTCTGCTAAAGGGGTCCTAATATAGTTATTGAAAACAACCTCTGCAGACTTGCTCGTGCTTATTTTCGGTAGGAAACAGCTATTTAAGGGGTGAAACTGGCGTCTGCCCCTTTACTGTTCGCTGTGAGTTTGGTGTTCTGGTTTCCTTCCTCTTAGGAAACTATTGTGAGGTTAGTGAAGTCCTTTGAGGTCGATAATGCCCAGAGTAATGTTAAGCTCCCGCTGGTAGTGAGGGAAAAGACAGAAGGGGGGAAAATATTCACTGCAAGTTGGGGAAAGAACTCGCATAGCTTAACTCCTGCTCTCTTAGGCATTGTGCTATATACTATAGCCTTACGGACTCTTTTTATGATTATCACTTGTAGATAATCATAACACTGAATCAGTCAGTACAGAACTAAGTTATATGTTCAGACAGAACAGCTATTTGTTTAAGACGGAAGCAAAGTATATACGTTATTTCGGAAAAGTTTCCATCAAAATGGCTACAATAAGGTGGTGTTGTATGAATAAATAAGTTACTTGATTTGGGGGGACCTCTTTATTCTATGAAAATGATGGTTAACTGAGCATATTGTTAAATTCTGCTTTATTCCCCCCTGATGCTCACAGTTGTAATATTACCAGTAATATGGGCAATACATTAATTTTTATTATTTATTGACAGAATCATTTATTTTTTAATTAATTATTTTTTAAATTAGATTTATTGGGGTGACACTGATTAATAAAATTATATATTCCTTCAAGTGTTTAATTCTATCATACATCATCTGTGTATTGCATTGTGTGTTTACCGCCCCAAATCAAATCTTTCATCACCATGTAATTTGACCCCCCTTTACTTCCCCAGTTTCCTTCTCCACCCCCTTTCCGTCTGGTAATCACCATACTGCCGTCTGTGTCTTTGAGTTTTTGTTTGTATATTTTTCTTGTTTGTTCATTTGTTGCTTTTAGTTTTATATTTTTAGAACCTATCCTCTGATAAATTTATTTAGATGTAATAACACATACACTTTTATATTTAATTCCTATAAGGTTTGTCTCGAAGCATCAACACAGATATTTTATCTAAGGAAACAGACAGTGGAAAAAATCAGGATTTCTCCAGTCTTGATGATACGAGAACAAGTAGTTTAGGTGACATGTTCTCACCTATCAGAGACGGTAAGTCTGTTCAGACAAGAGGATTACGGGCTCTTGCTGGTAGTCGCTACATTTTATTCTGGCTAAAAGATGTGAGTAATAGCTTCAGTGTAACTCTTGTTATGACAGTTTGCTAATTTTCTCAGTCCCTGGGGCGGTATCTTTTCCTTTGGCATGATATTTTAAATATTATCATTTCAAAATATATGCTGGTAATTTTCACATGGGAAACTTGCAAACAGCTCTCCAGTTAGCATTTTAATTTCCACAGAAGTTTTTTAAAGGAAGTTTTGCTTCCACAGGCAGTCTTTTATTTGTATTTACTTCTAAATAAATCTTTATAAAATCTCAGATATTGAGAGATGAAAGGTATCTTCCGAACTTTAAAAAAATTTGTTTCTGTGATTATTAGTATTTAATTGATATTTATTGAATGTTTTCATGGAGAAATATGGCTAGGTAATACACTGCCTCGTCTTTTACACTATGTGTGAAACTGTCACACACACACACTCTTCCCATTTCTAGTAGACGTTGCCGTTGAAAACAAAGCAAAGCAAAAAACTTTGCCAGCTTGAGGAATGGAAATATTTTCTCATTGTCGTTCACACTGTACAGACTAGGCACATAGTTTGGCCATGTTCTTTTGGTGCTAATGTTCAGTCTCTTAACCTTAATGGGATAGTTTCACTGCTAATAGCAGTATTACCAACAATATGGGTAAGTTTTTAGAGGATAATTTGGCAGGCTTAGATACTCATACTTTTTGGCCTGTTAATTCCATTTCTATAAGTTTACCTAAGAAAATATTCAGAAAAGCCCACAAAGATTTGTATTTTTATTGTTTATATGTAATAGTGAAAAACTGGAATGAATTTAAATGTTAATAATAGGATGTTTAAATTGTTACATGTACTTATGATCTTATAAAAATTTCATTTTTTACTTCAAAATTGTCTGTTTTCCAAATTTTCTGCAATTAATTTCATAATCAGAAAGAATAAATACATATGTGATTGTATAGAATTCTGAGTGTCTTCTGCCTTACCCCAGCCTGAAAATACTTCAACTGCCAAGTCAAATTCCTTTATACTTCATCTAATGAAAGAGGGAAGGATTTCTTCCTTTCAGGACAAAGAGAGGTCCGACTGCATAGTTAGAGTAAAGAGAGGAAGGATGTGGGTGAAGGAGGGAAAAGTGGCTTGGGCTGGAGTTGAGAAAGGTTTCTGAAGTAAGTGCCCAGTTGGGAACCTTGGTTTATGAGAACCCCTGGAGTTAACTTTTGAATTGAAGAGTGTAGGAGAGAGCCTTTTGGAGGGTTTTGAGTTATAAAATGAAATCCTCTTTAATGGTTTTCCAGAGAAATAAACAAAGGGCAGAAATTCCTCTTTAATTACTTAAGCTATTTTTAAAAATGTGATTAGTATTTGAGCCATATGCCTTTCATTTATTAGAGTTTTATATTTTTAATGAGAAGAGAACATGGATAGTAAATGTGGTACTGGTTTCATTATCAAGAAATTTTCAAGGATGCAACTCTACTGATAAAAGTTTTAATCTGTTTTGGCTCAATTTCTTCATCTTTTAAATACTTCTGCTTTTGTTAGGGGACAACTGATAACTTCTAAAAGTGTATGTGTGTGGTGCAATTACTAGGTATATATACACACATGCAGACAGACAGATGGATGAACTAATATGGTAATCATTTATAATAATCAAGTTATTGGCCATGTGAATTTCTGATAGATTTGACCATTTTTCTATTAATCGTTAAAACGGAGTTAAGCAATATTTGGTTGTTAATTGGTAAATGAATAATATTACAGTATTGAAATTTCTGCCATTGAAATAAACATTAATAAACTCATGTTTTTTATAGCATCATATTGCTTGTAAAATATTTTTACATTATTTCAGTTGATACTCAAAACAACCTTGTGAGATGATCAGGGCATTATTCTCCTTAAGTAGATGCAGAAACTGAAGCTTAATTCTATTAAAGGTTGATCCAAGGTCACAAAGCTGTTAAGTGGTATTGGCAGAACTGAATTTACAGGTCTTTGGACCTCCCTACAGTGCTTTTTCTAGTATACTTTGCTGTTTCTCATTAAAATAACTATATCATAGAGTTGTCATTTTATATTTGCTGCTGTTCATGAAGCTAAAAGAAGGAACAGGGAAGTTTATGTGAGCTCTAGCTTTAACTTTACTCAGATTTTCTTCTTAAAGTCATTACTCTCTGAACTATTTGGGGAATGAATAGGACGTCTAAGTTGCTATGGCATCTTTTTCACTGTCTTTTAAATTTGATTTTCTAATTTTCTTACAGATGTTGTGGTTAACAAGGGAGGTGATGAGTCCGTAGGCAAAGGAGATGGTAAGAGCTTTTGAGAAGTATTTTTATGAAAATTGAAAGTGATATTGTGTTATCTATTGCTGTGTAACAAATTACCCCAACATTTTGAATTTTAAAAGAACATTTATCATCTCATAAATGTGAGTTAAGGATCTGATCATGGCTTAGCTGTGAGTGCCTTTGGCTTTGGGTCTCTTGGGGCTTTAATCAGGGTGTCAACAGGGCTGCAGTCATCTCAAGGCTTAACTGAGCAAAGATCTGCTTCCAAGCCCATTCATGTGTCTCTTGGCCAAGACATCAATCAGTTTCTTCCCCTGTGGGCTTCTCTACAGGGAAGCTGACAACACGCCAGCTGGCTTTCCTCAGAGCTGGCGAGCAGGAGAGTGAGAGAGGGCACTCAAGATGAAGCCGCAGTGTTTGTAACATAAGCTTGGAAGTGACATCCACTTTGCTGTATTCTCTTTGTTAGAAGCAAGTCACTACGTCCAGCCCACATCCAAAGGAAGGAGATTACTCGAGGGCATGGATTTGGGCCAGAAGTCAGGGACCATTAGGAGCCTTCTTAGAGTCTGCCTGCCAAGATATATATCACAGGTGTAAACCAAGTAAATGCTTTTCAGTTACCAAAAACTAATACCGACTAAAGTGTTCATTGTGTGTTGCAGTTGTGAGAGTATTTTCACATACAATATCTCCTTTAAGCCTCCCCACTCAGGGAAATGGGTATCATTAGTCACATTTACAGATCAGGAAGCAGTCACAGAGAGTCTTACTGTTTTTGCCCAAGAATGCACATCAAATAAGGGCTAGAGCTGACAAATGAACCTGACTCCTGAATTCACATCCAGTGTCTTTCTACCACGTGAGCCTGTCTGTCATGTTAAGTGCTTTTGTTAAATATCCAAGATTGGAGAACATCATATGCAAATGCAGTTTTTTCCCTCCTCTTTTTCAGGCCTTGACTTTTTAACACAACTGAACTCAGTGTTTCCTCCAAGAAAAAACCCAGGAGCTTCTGGCACTTCAGTATTGCATTCTAGTCCTTTTAATGTCTTTATGGGATCTCCAGGGAAGGAAGAAAATGAACATCCTGATTTGACAGCTGAACCTAAGAAAACGTATCTGGGAAAACAGGAACCTAAAGACTCCTTAAAACAGGTATCATCCTGAAAGTGGTACAGAATTCACTGTGTGTGCTTATCACTTGCAAACATGATGAACTTCATCTCTAGGAAGCAGGCAGCTTCCAGTGCAGTTTTCCTAACTATTCACAGTGCTGTGTACTTGGTAGAAAGATACTCTTCATATTTGATGTCACATTACTAAAGGATACTTTTGAAATCTGTCTCAGGATATGATGAAGGTAACAGCAGATGTAAACTTAACACTATTTTTTTTTTTATGAGACAAGAAACTTGATTTAACTGTCTGTGTGAGAATATTTTATACCTGAATATTTTAGGATGTATTTTCCATTGTGGCAGAAAGCACCAAGTTGGTGGTCAAGCCATTTACCCTAAGTCTTAGAGTAAATCGATGGTGCTATAATGCAGTATCAGTATAGACGTTAATTTATTATGTAAGGGTTTAAAATGATCAAATATTACCAGGAAGGCTGAGACTGTTGAGCAGTATAGCCATTTATTTTTAGGATACTATTGAAAACATACCGTTCAAGAAGTACAGAAATGTGTTTTGACTTATTTTTCAAATATTCCTGACTAGTTATATTACATGAGAGGTTGGACATGGTGTTTGTTTGTTTGTTTGTTTTTTGTCTATGATAACTGTAACTATTTTAAATGATACTCAACAGCCTGGTGCCTAGTAAATGAACTTTTCTTTATCATGTTTTCATTGAGATTGTTTTTCATTAGTAAACTTGATTTATTTTGCCACTAGTCTTTGCAATTTTTCTCTTTCTATATGCCTTTCTATNTCATTAGTAAACTTGATTTATTTTGCCACTAGTCTTTGCAATTTTTCTCTCTTTCTATATGCCTTTCTACTTTTTGCTTTACCTGACCCTACCTACTGGATAAAAAGAGAAAGTTGGTACAAATTATGTGGATGACATGGGTAAAACCAGAATTTACATATTAATTGTTTATTTTAAATGTGAAGTTTGCAAAGTTGATCTCCGGTGCCGAAACTGGAAATCTAAATACCTCTCCATCATCTAACCAAACAAGAAGTCCTGAGAAATTTGAAAAGCCAGAAAAAGAAAATGAAGCTCAGTCACTATGTGAACCCACAGTCAATGGATCCTCAACTCCCAGTAAGTACATAAAACTTCCTTATGTTTGGAAGTGTTAAGTTGAAAACTCCCACTATTTAACTTGAAAGGATAAGTAAATGGAAAGATCACAGACTAAAAATTTTAAATGTTCAAGGAGTTTAAAATTTATGACATTTCTTTAGAATGACTCTCTTACTAGAAGGTAATATAATGTATATGAATTGTTAAATGTAACCACATTTATTTGACACTCTTGGTGTGAATTTCATTTTCAATCTCATCTGTAAGTGTCTTGATCTAATATGGTACAGATAGGAATATAGTGTAGAAACCTTTGGAAATGGGTCATTAATCACCTAAAATTGTCTCTTTTTTTTTAAATTAAAATTTATTTGCAAAGCTGTTCCTCTCAACTGTATTTGGTTTTTGTATTTTTTAATGTTATGTGTTTTTACTTGTCAGTTACAGTTGACATAGAATATTACTTTATATTAGTGTCTCCCCCCCCCATATTAAAGTCTTGTTTGTAGAGTTAATACTGCAGACCCTAAAAACTTGATCACATTTAAAGGGAGGTTCAGCTATAAGAGTTATCCATACAAAACAACTCTTTGTATAGAAGCAACTCTTTTATTATAGATAGCTATATTACACCATAAGTTTCTATGGATAAATTGCACTAGCTTAAACTCCAGGGCTTTGCCTGTAGCACTGCTTTACTCCTGTACTCCCGGTTCTTTGTAATAGCCTTGGTTTATCCAGTTTGTGCTGTGGCTTTTCACATTCTTCTTTTATAAGAGGAACGGTCCAGAGATTCTTTAAGATCAATTCCTGCCATGTGTTGCTGCATTAGTCAGTTGGCAGTTTATATATATATAGATAAATGACTATGAGAAAGAATGTCATAGAACATTTCTAAGATTTGTATTCCAAACAGTGAATTTTTCTAAATGTCACAGGAACACTGTTGTTTACGAGTTTTTCAAGTTTTCTCATGTCAAATCTTACTTATAAATGTTTGATGTCTCTTAATCCAAGTTGACCATTAATACTTTCTCCATTTTTTGTTTTAGATCCAAAGTTAGCATCCTCTGTCACTGCTGGAGTTGCTAGTTCACTATCGGAAAAAATAGCTGATACTATTGGAAATAATCGGCCAAATGCACCATTGACATCCATTCAAATCCGTTTTATTCAGAACATGATACAGGAAACATTGGATGACTTCAGGTAGTAATTGAAAAATTGCTCTTTCTATTTGGACTGTAACTGTTTTTTTATTAGGTTAAAACTGGAACTGTAAGTAATGTTGGTGGTTACTATTTGTGCCTAGGCTCTGGTGTCCATAAAACCATAGAAAACATAATGATTTTCGTTGATCTTGAGGTACTGAATTTATTGAATATCAGCCAGGGAAATGCATATTTACCTAGGGTAATTATTAGATAACTTGGCAGGGCAGTCTAGCAGGCAGGCTGGCATTGTGGGGTTTTTTTATCAGCAAAATGTGGACAGATTCTGGTAAGCTCAAATGGGATTCTTTTTTTTTTTTTTTAAATATGTCTGTTGATTTCAGAGAGAGGAAGGGAGAGAGAGAGACAGAAAATCAGTGATATGAGAGAGTCTTTGATCAGCGGCCTCCTGCACACCCCCTGCTTGAGATCAAGTCCGCAACCTGAGCATGTGCCCTGACCCGGAATCAGACCTCGATCTCCTGGATCCTAGGTCGATGCTCAAGTGGGATTCTTAGCACAGTATTTATAGATCACCTGTTAATTATGCTACATGCAGTAATGTAGTAGAGAAAAATATTTTTAAAAGGAATTCTGAATTTTTTCAAATAGAATGCATTAGAATATAATGCTTAATTTAAACATTTTTTTGCATGGATCGATTTGTGTCTTCTTGTCCTTTGAATTTTGAACATTGTTATAATTGTGTTCTAGAATGCTACTTCCTTTTACCTATCATCTCAGTATATTTTGGAGGCTATTTTCAAGTATTAGAGTCTTTTATTGTGGTTTTTTTCTGACTTACAATTACTCAGTATTCTAACTCAGATTTGGGTTATCATGAGCAAGAATGTTGGAGAAGTTATGCAGTTTTTGTTGGTACATGTTTCTATTTAATGTAAAGAACTCTTATTTAGAAAGAAAAATCATTAAAAGACAGAGTCAGCATTTTACAGAAAGAAATGGTATATGAACATAGGAAAGATGCTCAATCCCATAATTAATCAGAGAACTAAAAATGCAGTGATACCATTTCACACCCATTAGAAGGGAAAATGTAAAAAATCAGACACTTTTTTTAAGGAATGTAGTGTAGTGTAGTGGAGGTAGGTAGCCTGTGTTTATATCCTAACTCTGCTATTTACTGGTTGTGTGACTTCAGATAAATTATAACTACCCTGTGGCTCAATTTCTTTATTAGTAAAATGGAGGTAATAATTGTACCTAGTTGTGAAGATTAAATAAGTTCTGACATTTGAAGTACAAGAAACAGTGCCTAGCACATAAGTAAATAAATGCTAGGTGCATTGGTATTTTTATTATTGTAATAATAATTGTTGACATCCAATAATTTGAAAAATGAGAAAGCTTAACCAGTTTCTTGAATGATGTAGAATTGGTGAAACTGTCACAGCTCTAACAAGTATTTCATATTTTTCCCTAGAGAAGCATGCCATAGGGATATTGTGAATTTGCAAGTGGAGATGATTAAACAGTTTCACATGCAGCTGGTATGTATGACAAATTTCATTGTAAATGTGTATAGAGTAGTGGATCTGCAAAATCCACTAAAAGATGATGTAATTATTACTTAGTTGTATCTAGTTGCTATGATAATAAACAGAGAGTTTTAGAAATTTAATAACTAAATAGTTTTTAACTAGTCACACTTCTTTTTAACTTTTAATAACTAAGGCAACTTTTTTACAGCTTTTATTTCTCTTCAGTAAGTGAGAAAAAAGCATCCCAAATGTGCAAATATAGGCTTTCCAAATATCTAAGTTTTATTAGTGGTCTTTCATTTATTAAGAGTGGTTAAGTATTAAGAGTGGTTAAGTCAGAGGAATATCATTTATCTAGTTAACTGAACATGAAAGAAATGATAGCTGACAGTATGTAAAACTTGGCCAAATAAATGTGAAATACCAATAATTTAAAAAGCATTTTTGCCTTTTTCTAGAATGAAATGCACGCTTTATTGGAAAGATACTCAGTGAATGAAGGTTTAGTGGCTGAAATTGAAAGACTGCGAGAAGAAAACAAAAGACTACGGGCCCACTTTTGAAATTACAGTGAATACCTTAATGTTTTGTAATTTGGGAAGTTTCTGGCAACACAAAACTACATGGAATCAGTATTGTTTTCATGGCCTCTGGGAAAATTTTTTCAAGTAAATGGGTGATGAGATTTTACACCAACCATTATTTCATTTTCTCTGTCAAAAATATTTATATTTTTATATTAAAAGCTGTACAACATATCATCTGCCTAATAAATAGGTCAATAGGATCTTTATTTTTCTGAAAGCTTTAGCTAGACACTAAGTGCCCTTTTTCATAAGAAAATTTTGCAAAAAAGAAAAGGTTTTAGATGTTTTAAAATCACCTTTTTAACACATCTATTTTTGATTGACACTTGCCTTCCAAATATTTGTGGATATTTGAGAATTAAAGAGTTTGATATGCATTCTATTTTTATGGAGAAAGTAATTTTAAAATCGCAATTGGTGTTTCTAAGCAATTGACTAATAAAACACAAGGTTGGCTAGTAATTATTTTGTTAACTTGATGAGGTCAAGGATAACTATTATTTATTACTTGTACATTTGATAAGACAATTTTTGGAATCTTGAATTGCACAGATTATCTTATAATTTGTCTATTGCATTTATATTACTGGATTGTACTTTTGACAGATCTCTACTCTGGGTTGATAGTTTTTTTTAGCTACTTCACTTTACCTATGAAAATATTGAAGGATCTGAAAGATTTGACGAGAGCTGCATATCTGCAAATTTTCTCATGAGTTAATAACAAGCAAAATTATACTATAAAGTTTTAACCAACATGATTCAATTTATAATCAGTGAACATTTCATATTAGGTACTAAATGGTACTGTATTCTTGCCATTTTTCCCCCTCCCAAATGAGAAGTGTGGATTTTTTTGTGGTTTATATCATTAACTTTCTCTAATTCTTTGTGTGCTGTGTTTAATATTTTTATATTATTGACCTTACCATAAGATTTATAAAGGGTAATTGTCAAAAGAATTTATAACTCTGACAATAGATGGATGTGTGCATCTACCTGCTGCGATCTGGAATTTTAGTCGTATAAGATTAGGCAGGTTATTGGCTTGTTTACCTTCTTATAGTCTCTTGTCCCAAAGATTTAAACTTATATATAGTACTCCTGCCCAATTTTGAATTCTGAGATAAAATACTAAAATAAAAAAGAAATTGAGCTTACTAACTATATGGTTTTCCAAAACAATAGAAATTTTTAAGGATATTTTTAATAAGTGTAAACATACAAATAACTACTTCAAGGAATAAAAACAAATACTAATTTTTCCTAGTGTGGCTCAGAGAATACATTTGTATTGAAGCATAAAGTGGTCCTACTGTGATCTTCTTGGCAGATTATGAAAGCATTATGACTTGTAACAAGTTTCCTTATATACCATTATCAAGCAGTTTTCGAGAACATAAAAGTGTGTTTTGCCTACATGCCTTATTTAAATTCTTTAATACTTTCCAGTTGCCTTTTTCTGTTCATGTACTTGATGTATATTAAAAGAGGAGGGATAAATAAAACAGTTTTAGTAACTTTATGTGTATAGAAGAAACATTTTTGTTATAGTATTTAAAAGGTAAATAAGTACAAACAATAAAATTTTTATATATGGTAAAAATGGGAAACCTGAAATTAAATTTTTACCTCTTGCCAAGATAGAATAATAGGGATTGGGTTTATCCATCTGAAATTTTTAAAAGAGACAAAATATGTGAAACAGTTTTCAAATAGTGGATGTCACGTGGCATAGGACCATGATCCCTGGGAGAGGAAAGCAAGTGAGACCCAAGAAACTAAATGAACCCCAAGCACAAGAAATAAAAAATTACACCAAAGCACATCATAATTAAATTTCTTAAAACCAGTGACAAAGGAAAATTCTTAAGCAGCTAAAGTCAAAAGACACAATGGAACAAAGATGTCAGAAGAGTGGAGCAACCTCTTTAAATACCAAAAGAAAATACCCAACTTAATTCTATACCCAGCAAAAACATCTTTCAAAAATTACAATGAAATTAAAACTTTTTCAGACCTATGAAAACTGAAGAATTTGCTGCGAACAGACTGGGCTACAGGAACTGTTAAAGAATGCCTTTAGTCAGAAGGAAAATGGTACCAGATAGAAATCTTCTGTTCAAATTAGTAAAGAACACCAAAAATGGTACAGGAACAAATGTGAGACTTCTTCTTTTAAATGATCTCTAAAGGGTAATTGACTGTCTAAAGCAAAGATGATACGGTCATGTGTGGTTGACACATGTAAAGCGAAATGTCCGACGACAACATCGAGAATGGGAGGAGGGAAGTGAGTGTGCTGTAAGGTTCCTGTACTGTGAATCAGTATATCGCCTGAAAGCAGTCTGGGATAAGAATATGTAATGTAGACCCTAAAACAACCACAAAAAGGAAAACAGGTAAAGCTAATAAACCAATAAAGATGGTAAAATACAGCCATAAAAAGACATAATCCAAAAGAAGGAAGGGGAACAAAAAATAGGACAAATAAAAAATAGTAAGATAGTCGACTTAAACCACTATCAATAATTACATTAAGTGTAAATTGTTAGGTGCTCCACTTATTAGATTGAGCCTTTTTTATCCAACAGTGAATCTGAGAAATTCACTTTAAAGACAAATAGTTTTAATATAAAAATAAATTCAAAACTATATTGAACTAAATCCAAGTGAAGACAAACTATCAAAATTTGTGGGAATCAGCTAAAGCAAATACAGGGAAATTTATATCATTAAATGTCTGTATTAGAGAAAGAAAGGACTCAAGTCAATGACTTCAGCTTCCAACTTACTCTAGAAAAATAATAGCAAGTGAAACACAAAATAAGCAAATGAGAGGATAAAGATTAAAGAAATTAACCCAATCGAAAACAATCAATTGAGAAAATAAGTGAAATTAGAAGCTAGTTCTTTTAGATCAATGAAATCGATAGACCTTTATCCAGACTAATGAGAAAATAAAGAAGAGACATAAATTACCAGTATCAGGAATGAGAGAAGTGTAACAACACTGCAGGTTCTACAGATATTTCTGACAGACAAAATGCCAAACCTAAATGGCTACTCTGATGCATTCTTTCAAATGTTTAAAGGAAAAATTACTTAATTCTCAACAAATGCTTCCAGAAAATAAAAGGAGATAACTCCCAACGCATTCTTTGAGGCCAGCATTATCCTGATAACAAAATCAAAACTACACATCCGTATTCATCACAAGCACATGCAAAAGTTATAAACAATATTTTAGCAATTTGAATCCAACTATGTGTAAAAAGGATAATACATTTGAACTAGTGTCTGGACAGCCTATGCACTTGTTGCGATTTTACATTATGTCTCTCAGTGTTTGGTCACATCGTGCCTTCGGATCTTGACTGTTTAGAGTGACTGACATTATGAAAGACTGTAGGAATACTTTGAGTCTCTGAATACTATTATTTTTCCCTAGAGAAAATTTACTTTCATTATGGCAGGCAGCTGGGCTAGGGGAATGAGACTCCCAGTGTCATCTTAATTCAATCGAGGGTTGAGATGCCAAGTTAAGGTTAAGTCCCTAGTCTATTCTTACTTTTAAGGTATAACCCTTCAGAGTTCCAGACACACCCTTGGGGTTCCATCATGACCGTCCTGCTTGGTGAGTCATGAACTCTAATATTTGTCTCCCCATCTCTGCAGGTGTTTTCAAAGCTCTGCTTCTTGACCTTGTTGATGTTTAGATGTGCTCTTTTGCAGTTGAAGCTAACAGAGTGCCAGATAAGATAATCGCTGCATCTTATCTAAAATATTTCTAGTAAAGTATTATTTTATGTATTGTCAAGTTTCACATACTTATCTTAGACAGATGGAGCTCTTAAAGACTACAGAAATACAAAGATGAAAAGATTGTATGTTTAGATTTATGTTATTTGTTGGAAAATCAAGGATGTGGCTATAGAAAGACTAGTTAGAACCTCTGAAAGGAAAAAGGTGTTTTTTAGTAGACCAATGATTCCACAAATGTGGTTTGGTGAACCCTGGGAATTCCCAACATACTTTTGGGTGATCATGAGGTCAAAATTATTTTCATAGTAATACTAAGATGTCCCCTTTTTCACTCTTATTTTTCAGTGGCATAGAGTGAGGTCTTTCAGAGGTTACATAACATGATTACATTATTGCCCTGATATCTAATGGAATTAGATGCTTGTATGTTCTTGTACTTTCTTTATTATTATTATTATTATTATTTTTTGTCCACACCCAGGGATTTTTTTCCATTGCTTTTCAGAGAGTGGAAGGGGGGGAGAGAAAGAGAGAAACATTGATGTGTGAGAGACACACCGATTAGTTGCCTCCTGCACATGCCCTGAGCCTACAACTGAGGTACGTGACCTTGGCCAGAATCGAACCCAGGACCCTTCAGACCACAGGCCGATGCTCTAACCACTGAACCAGATCAGCCAGGGCTCTTCTTGTACTTTCTAGAGTTTTCTAAGGGAAACTCTTTGGACTCTTCAGTAATTTTTAATAGTGTAAAAGAGACCTGAGACTAAGAGCACTGAAAGCCTGAAGTATACCTTCTCAGTTGGTAAAAAAGACACTTGTGAAGCTTAAGGGCATGGTTCCTACATTCGCCTGATATGTGGTTAGTGGCAGTAATTGAATCAAGAGAGAGAGTAATTGAATCAAGAGTAATTGTATCTAGGAAAGAAATGCAGGTGTGACTTGGCTTTTAGCACACAGAGCAGACTGGAATCAAATATGTAGAAATTCACCAAGTGTTTTAAACAGTCAAATTAGCAAAAGCACTACCATCTAGGAGTAAAAGAAATGGAAGCTTTTCAAAAATATTAAAAAACAACAACTCTGGGCCCTCAACTTTCTAATGCAGTAGGCAGGCTGAGAAAGTTGCTCAGTTGCCGAAATGGCATGTTTTCCAAAGCCCTTTTCCGAAATGGGAGAGGAAGAGCAGGATAAAAGGGGAAGGGCATCTAAAAAGAGCAGAGCCCAAAACTGGAGAGCAGTGAACTGGGGAGGCACTACCAGGGAGTGGAACCCAGGCCTAATCAAGAAACATTCCCCATCCACAGAGCAGCATTTGCCCCGTGGGATTTCAGAGGCGCTATTGGCCAGTGTTTATTGTAGTTTCTGGAGTGTTTATTGTGGTTATCTTGTGCCAGCTTCACCATGGTTGGTAGGCTGTGTGTGTGTGAGAGAGAGAGAGAGAGACACAGAGAAAGAGATGGGGTGGGATACATAGCTCATTGTTTTGTTCATTGGACCAGAGAGCAGAGTATGGCATTGCATTATTGTCACCAGTCCTTCACCCCGACTTGTATTCCTGTTCCTTTCTGTTTGACTTTTGTGTTTCTACTAAAAGAGGTAGAGTATGTTTCCCCACCTGGTGACGGTGGATTTGGCAACGTGGCTTGCTTTGGACAGGAAAACCTAAATGATGGTGAGCCAGTTCCCAGCCTAGGTTTTAAGAGGTCTTTCATGTTTCCTTATACTTCCAACGTGAACACTAAAAACATAAAACATGAAAAGCTACCTGGGCTGGCTGCTGGTCTCAGGGGGAACATGAGGCATGTAAAGCATAGTTGTCTGAACCAAGCTGCTCAGCTAAACCAGCCTGGTCCAGCCCAACCGCCCTCAGATCTATGGGGATAAATGCCTACCGTAGTAAGCAAGCCACAGAGTGTTTTTGGTTCTTTATTTTGCAGCAGTAAGTAGCTGATAAACATCTTGACTCACCTGTATTCCAGCTCCTGTGATTTAGAGCTGCTTTGTGCCTTGCTGGATATTTGTAAGGGCCTCCAGACTGGGCTTCTGTTTTCCTCTATTCCTTCTTGTCCGTTGTATATACCTCTACAAGAGTTCTCTTCACCCAAAAGGCAAATCTAATTGTCCACAGGAAAAGTACATGGTTCTTGGTTGACATCTTGTCCTTCCTTGAAGATTTGTCTCCTGCTGTTCCACACACCCGGCCCCTGATATTCTAGTCTCAAGTTCCAGAGAGCACTTTCGTGGCTCTGGACCATCACTTTCACTCTTCTCTCTGCCTGGCAAATTCCTACAGGTCCTTCAGGACACTTCTTACATGTCACCTCTTCTGTCACATTTTCCCTGACCATAAAAGAATGATGTTCTCTCTGTGAATCAAAAAGTGCATTTTCTACCACTATTATAATTGTTATAGATTTGTCTCCAGGTCTCTCTCCTCACTGTCAGAGGCCATCTCTGAATGCTTTCTGTAGATGCACTATCTAGCATGATGCTTTGACCTCCATCAAGGTTTGGTGTCATCTCATGTCTAATTGTATCCCTTGTTGAATCAGGTGGAATACATGTAGGGATTGTGATAAATTGTTCATTCCTGTAATTCCTGTATGGTGTTTGTGATACATGCAATACACTGGAAATTTGATTAACTGTGATCTTTCCTCTTTTACACATGTCAAATGATGGCATGTATTTTAGGATAAATTCATGAACATAGAAAAACGACAATAGTGGTTGAAGATAGTTGACATGCCCTTGATG